CAAATCACGAACTACTGACATGTGACCACTCTCGAGATAATCCTTCATAAATTCAGAATATGCAATCCGTAAAGATGGGTTTTTAGCTAGCTTGTTTTCCAAGGAAAGAAATCTGCGTTTTGCTTGACAGTAAGAGTCGCCTAGAACTGGCTGAGAAGCTTTAAATGGTAAAGACACAATGAATCTGCCGCTGGGTTCTCGTTTCACTGTGTTAGAAAAAATCGTTTCACACAGTTGTTCCTCTGGAGTCAGAATTACGGTACTCTTCGGAACCTGCTCAACTTCCCAAAATTTTTGTAGAGTTCTGTTCAATGAAAATTGTGCGAAGACGTGAAATGAAAACGGATTTGCATTGTCGCTGGAATTGCGAAGGACCGAAGCGGTGCCCTGTAGTATCCAACCAAATATACTGTCAATAGCTACTGGCTGATCGGCTGTACCAAATATGCGATCTTTGTTAAATATGTACGGTGTGAGTTCAGCACCAATTAAAATGTCGATAGACGAAGGTATGTTGAATTTGGGATCTGCGAGGCGTAAATTGGTGATATGTTTGCAATTTGAAACATCAATTTCCATTTGAGGTTGCTTCGAACAAATTTGGGGCACGATCAAAGCTTCAAAATCAAATTTTGGATTTTGGCAATGTGCAGGTTGCATGTGGCATAGGACACTTCCTTTACTGCACTGAGTGGACATATTATTCAATCCATGAATTGTTAACGATGAACGCTTGGGTTTTAAACCTAACCGATTAACACAATTATCAGAAATAAAATTGATCATACTTCCAGAATCAATTAATAAGCGAACTGGTTGATAATTACCCCGTATGTCTTTAACATTAACAACTGCGGTCGATAAAAGCACTGTCGAAATTTGATAATTAGAAGTAATATTAGTCATTACGCTCAATGACTGCGTTTGCGTTATTTCGTTAGCGCTCACGGACTCTGAAGAAGTCGAAGGAATTACAGTATCCTCACTTGGTACTGATAAAACCTTTGCGTTAAGATGTAACAGAGTGTGATGCCTGCGATCACAGACATGACATCTTGCTGTAGATTTGCAATGAAAAGCAGTGTGTAAAGAACTAAGGCAATTTTTACAAAGTTTCTTCGTGCTAGCTATTTGAATTCTGTCTTGAACTGGTCTTGACAAAAATTCAGTGCATTTATATATGCCATGCGGCCCCGAACAATGTGAACACTTCAAAGTATTTCTAGTACTAGATTGCGTTTGTGAAGTATTGGTGGCGTCAGTATTTAAAAGATTGGAAATCTGATAACCACGTTTAATAGTTTGTGGAATAGGTGAAGCGGCTGCCATCTTCGACTTGGGAGACATTAATTGTAACGAATCTAGTGCCTTTGACTGATTTTCTAAAAATGTAATTAATTGTTTATATGAAGGGAGCTCAATTTCACTATGTTCTAGTTCAAAATCTGTCCGGGTTTTGGTATCTAACTTTTGCAAAAGCATATTAAACAATAGAAAATCCCAAGAATTGACTGGAAAATTGAGAACCTTTAAAGATTCAATGTTTTCGTGAAACGTGTCTAAAAGTAACCTTAAATCTTTGGAATTAGGGCGCTGCAAAGCAGTGGCGTTTTGTAATTGTTGATAATAGGCTGTAGCAAGTAATCTTTTATTCTCGTATCTATTTTTTAGAATTTGATAAGCTGTGTCATAATTAATTTCAACTAACGGCAAACCTTTAATAATATTATGAGCTTCGTCGCGTACTGAAGTTATCAAATGATGAAATTTTTCGATTTTAGAGATGCTGTCATTGTTATGCACCAATGAATTAAATAAGTCTATGAAAGCTGGCCATTCCTTGATATCACCAGCAAACTTTGGGATCTGAATTTTTGGTAATTTTTGTATTGTTTTTGCGTTAGAATTTTCTGTATGTATATGAGATTTATTAATTATAGCACATAACGCCTTTATTTTATAAAAAATAATATCTGTATCTGAACGAATTTTGTCATGTTCCGGAAAATCCTCATCTTTAACTAACCCTATGATATAATTGTGATATTCTTGAAATTCCTTATAATTGGTATCTACTTGAAGTGCTCTCGCCAAGAAGATAGCTTTTCTTGATTCATCTAACTCCCCTTCGCCTTCCCGTAAAGTTTCTTTTAATCTAGACATCGCGGTATTTCGTAAAAGAATAGATTTGTTAAATTTAGCTGCTACGGTTGGGTTCATTCTTGAAAAATAGTAAATTTAAGCAATATGAAAAATAAGAGAAAAAATATCGAATCCGAATTTTTATCGTTATACGGAACTACAATGCGACCAGGTACAGATAGAGCGCAGACACAGACACACCAAAATTGTATGGCTGTATTGATAACGACACAACCTTGTCGTTGCGAACAAAATTATCGAATTTGTTTATTTATCTATTGCTTGAGCTAATAACGTAATTGCGTAATTAAGCAATTAATAAGGATTAATTCGTGTATAATTTATGTGGTGGAAATATGAAATTACCGTAACCAAACTACTATCAAAATCAAAAATCAATTATGATGAGTTTTAATTTATGAAATGGTAATTAAAGGATTTAAATCCGGGACGAAGGACCATCAATGTTTGCGTAGTAAAAGGACCTGCACTTACCCCAATTCCCCAAAAGAACCAGTATTTATTGGCACCAACTTTGTTGCTCTAGCGCGCGCGCTGCACTGCCCTCTTTCCGACACTCCCTCTCCTCGTGCAGGATTGGGATAGGATATGCGGGATTCATAAATTAAATTTGAATTCAAAATAGGTGATATGATTCCGGACTTAACAAAGAGAAGGACCTTTTATATAATTGAAGATTATGCTTAGGGATTGTAATAAGTAAATCCTTTCTTCGTATATTAATATTATGAGTGTCAATTCTGAAACGTATTAAGTTAACGAGAAATTGTGGGCATTTATTGACAACTATTTTATAAAAAGTGCAGTAGCAATGCAGCTTCCTTCGATCTTCCATTTTCAACCAACCTGCCTTTCTAATGTAATGGGAAATTCCTTCCCTTCTTCTGACGCCAAATATAAACCTAAGACAGGAGTTTTGAACGATTTGAATTCGTCTTATTTCACAGGAATCCAAATTTGAACTGTAGACGACATCACAATAATTAAAATTCGATAAAATGAGAGTATCGCAAAGCAACTTTTTTAAATGTTGGTTTAATGAATGCCTATGAGAATACAACAATTTCAGCGTAAAATATGATTTTTGTATTAATTTTGAGATATGCAACTTAAATCGCAAATCTGAATCCATAATGAGCCCAAGATTTTTAGCACTATCCACAAGTGGGAGTATTGTACCGTTCATGGACACTCGAGTGAGATTTATTAACGGCAGTCTATTCCTCTTACTCCCAAAAAGCATAACTTTACATTTATTAGAGTTTAACATAAGATTATTTTTATTAGAATTTGTTGACAATTGTTGGAGGTCCCGATTTAGATTGTTTACTGCACTTTGAAATTCATTTTTAGGGAATGAGATATAGATCTGAGTATCATCCGCAAAAATATGGAATTTGGTATGCTTTATGTCCTTATATAAAAACGCGGTGTAAATCGAAAAAAGTAGGGGACCGAGTATGGAACTCTGAGGCACTCCCGACTGTACTGTAACAGCATTTGATTGATTATTTCCCAGGCACACGATCTGTTTTCTATTACATAAATAGCTACGAAAAAATGCAACTGCTTCAGCGTTAAGACCTAGGAAACCTAAAATGGACACAAGCAGAGAATGATTCACAGTGTCGAATGCCTTTGAATAGTCAAGAAGCGCTAATAATAAACAGTTACCTTGATCCAGAGCTTTTAATATATCATCAACAATATCGACAAGTGCTCCAGGGCAACCATACCCAGCACGAAATCCAGATTTCTGAAATTTTAGTTACAATAAGTTTTAGTACTCAAAATATATCGAAAAATCAGCTGAACAATTGTTTCGAATTTTTTTGGTTTTCAGAGACGAATTCAGGGTGCTTTTAAGAAAACTCTTAAATAATAATAAAATAAATAATAAAAGCCGGCTCGTATGGCGCATACAAAGGGTCCCTGGTTCGAATCCGGGTTCGGGCATGGATATTTGTAAATGTATAGTGGGTTGGGTTAGTAGAGTAGCCTTGGCTGAAACCCCCTCTCTCAAAAATAAAGCTAAAAATAAATAAATAAATAATAAAAAGTTAAATGAAACTGTTTATCGTATCTTTGTGATGACTAGTGCACTATACCGCACCTTTCCTCTACACTATACTCTTATCTTTTCTTACGATGTGCTTTTTTTCTGGTAATCTCCTTTACCACTCCTAGATCGGTTACTACTTATCTAAGCACTTTTGGATTCGATTTTCTAGCAGAATTTTTGCTAAGATGTCACCACAAAAACAAGAGCTTGAAGTAACATAAATTAAAGAGGGAAAATGCGAACCTGATACATTGATTGGACATCAAACCATTTACAAAAAATGCGATTTTTACGCACATGTAAAGAAAAACATAATTTCTCAATAGGCTACGTTATGTCCAACCCTTATGGTCACGATAAGTCTATGTCTATGTAAGAGATGAATGTAGTTATATGTACCTAGCTAGTTCATAAGAAGTATAATAAATGTACGACATAGGAGAAGTGAAATGGAAAATAGAACAAAGTCATCATATAATTGTAGTACCTAAGATTAAGGTGTCAACGTATTTAATACATCTGATAATTGAAATTGGTTAATTATCGGCTATGTTTAAACTAGGATTAGGTCGTCTAACATAATTACCGATAAATCAGCTCATACGTCAGTCACTCTCTTAACTGTGCAACCCAAAAAAGAAAAATCCCTTAAAACTGGTAATCCCGCTCCTATCTCGCTTGTATACCCGCGAGAAATGCTTTAATCTTCTTTTCCCAGTACTTTTTTTACTTGTTTAGTTTATGAATCAACGCTTTTAGATATAAACGGGATGTAAGTCGATGTAATCTTCAGAAATCGTCCGGCAGTGATCGAGTTGACATATCCCGAAATGTACATCCATTTAGAAAGTGCGTTATTTCTGTACTTTTTCGTACAATTGTGTTCACCAGCCCAAGTGCGAATAACGTTCGAAAAATGTGACCTGAAGGGATTCACCTGCGTAGCATCGCCGGAGGTATCAGGCAGGCACGATATAACGTTTCAATGCACCAACGTAACGGGACAGGTGAGTTTTTGCACCTCGCGCACTGGTTGACCTTTGCGAAAATAATCTGCATTTGTAGGACATTCAATTTTACCTTTGGGCGTTCAGCGCTCCTGGTACGATACAATCGTTGACGTTACACAATTGCGAAAAAGTGCAGCTATCGCTGACCTGCAGCGGCGACAATAGACCAATTCAGTGGGTGAAGTTTAAAAATATTGGATCACTGGAATGGTTGCCACCGAACGTTCCACACAACCCTCCGAAGATGATCTTCGAGAATATCTCAAGAATAGAGATACTACCAAGACAGACGTTTGCGCAAATTAAGAAGATATTTTATAAACCTGGGTGTTATCTTCCGGCTTTCGATCTTAACGCGTTGGAATTCAGGAACGTCAATTTCGGCACTATTGAATCGGGTGCTTTTGACAATTTATCCGACATGACCAACTTCGAGTGGACAAACGTGACCGTTAGCAGAATTGCCTATGCAGCCATGAAAATGCAATTCGTGCAAGGCGGAAAAGGTTCAATTAGTAATTCGAATCTAGGAGTTCTCGAGCCAATGGCGTTACAATTCGTCGGCGACGGTTTGTCCATCAAGAACAATAAAATTGAAGATCTGTCACCGAGTAGCATTAATGGCACCGTTTACGATTTTGAGTTTGTAAACAACACAGTCGATAATTTGCAGTCCAGCGCGATCGCCGTGTTGTCCCAAAACACTTACATTAACAACAACCATTTTAGGAACGTCGAATCAGGCGCGTTTAAAAAAGTAAGTCCCGGTCTGCTGCACGATTCCCAGCGAAACTTTGGCACCCTGTACTTCGTTTACGATTTCAATAATAATCTTTTCGAACATGTGGAGGATAAAGGTATCCGTCCGGATATTGAGGCATACAAGAACGTTGCTTCGCTTGTTAACTTCACTGAAAACACCCTGCAATGCTCCTGCGAAACCATATCGTGGCTTGGCGCCGAGGTCGACCTAGGATTCAACTATACCGTTCTAAAGGATTTCAACACAATGATTTTAGATCCCAAGAATAAAAATAATTGTAATTTCAATCCGTGCATGTGCTTTGGTGTCAGATCTCCAAACAAAAGGAGTTCTGCAACTGCAGCTGTATTTTAATTTTGTTCTCGAATTTGTTATAAATAAACTATTTATTTTGTAGTGAATCATTACTCATTATCAGTAAGTGTGGGTAATGAAGTAGATAGTACTTCCTCTGTAACGATGATTAGCCAGAATTGTATCATTCAATTTTATGGTGCTTTATCAAATATATCAAGGAGAGGATTTGCAATTCGTGTTGCATGAAGATTTTATCTTACCTTGGTGATTGATAGGGTTTGAACTCTCTGGGTATGGAACGGGTGACAACCTCAGTTACTTTTCAGAGAGGACCATAAAGTTGGCACCCCCACTTTACACAAATCAAGTAGAAAAATGCCTCGCGTTTAGGACTAATTAAAGACTAATTTGTACCCACAAAATTAGACTTTGTATCCGCTTAGTTTTTCCGGAAAACCGATTTTTAAAATGGGGATGCTAACTTGAAATCAAGTTAGTACTTCCACTTTTCCCGATTGAAATTGTATTAGTTGCATCATAAACTATGAATTAAAGACCAATTTGGACTTAGATTTTCATGGTTTAAACAATTTATACATATTTATTAAAACTAAATGGAACGTATAAATTAAGTACTAATTTGTACCTACAAAATTAAAATTTGTACCCGCTTTGGTTCCGTTCCGGTTAGTAGACCAGACTTTCCACTTGCCCTTTATGAGTATGCTCTTTTGATACGTTTCGAGATATTCGCTTTTAAAGATTTGACATCACTAATGGATATATTTCTTCCAAACGTACAATCGTCCTTTGTGAGTACCCTCCTCCGACACTTCGCACTAGAGATATTAGGACCAATCACGTTAAGGGGTCGAGGATGAAGACTGTAGTTGGTAGAAACTAATTCCTTTCGTTAACACATTTTATTAGAATACCAGAAAAGATAAAAAAAACTTCTAACCCCCACCCCCTTTCCCCTTCACCCTCTCGTCTTAAAAAGGAGTCGCGGATAAAAGTTATAGTTTGTAGAAACCAATCATTTTAATGAGACGCTTGATTAGTAAACCATGCACGTGTGTCTACACGTTACAATTTCCTCGTGGGTACATACAATACATTTATAACGGTCTTGAAATAGATTACCTACTTTGTAATAGTTAAGTAATATTTATCAATTTATCACGCAAAATTTATAACGTAATACGAGAGACAATCGATGTTAGAAGTGACTCGAAACACAATTCGATTTGCTTATATAGCAAACGCCGGTCTTTCTCAAAAGTTCTCGAACGCTTCCGAACGCTCCCGAATATTCTAGTATGTTCTCGAACAAACACGCCATATTTCCCGATAAAATACGTAACATCCGCTTGAGTTTCTTATGTCTATCGGGATTTCTAGAATATTCGCTACAATATACATAAACAAATATAATAAAAATGAACAATTTAACATTAAGCACATTAAAGCTCTTCAAAATTGTACGCTCATTTTTCTATCGGAAGTTGTTTTACTTTTTTTTAAAGTGGATTTTTATAACAGTATAAACAGTAACGTAGTTGTATTTCACTAATTTTTATTAAGAAATTAATTGGTCGCGATCGATTTCGAACGAGCTTCGTCCATCATCAGGCGACAGGTACTGTAAACCATTAGTGTTAGTATAGTTATACATTAACAATTATTGTTCACATAATATTACCGTCATTACAATATAACAAAATAAAAACGAATCATGAATATGAAGATGTTGGAGGGTGTGTGGTTCATCTTCCGCAAGAGCACCTCTGAAAAGAATTATGCGGGTTACTTTGTAATTTCCACGACAACTGTAAGTGGTGAGTAACGGGCAAATATATACCATAGCAGGTATCAAGTAGCGAAAACCCGAGTCTCTAGGTGACCCAAGTTCTCTAAAATGAATAATTGCCACTATCCGTCATTTCCAGAGAAAATACATACTTAAAATTATCACATTTTGAAAAAATTTGAACGAAATTACTCTTTGAAAATATCTCAATGACAGAACCAAATTAGGCTCGCATGACTTTTACTTCCACGCACATTTAGTGCAGTATGCGGAGTAGTCAGAAGGGCAGATTCCTGCAAAAGGTGGTGTAAACGATTTTGTCATTTTAAATGGTTTATTTGGGTCCAAATAACATGCATTTGAAGAGTGCACACCAATTTTTTCCAGGCAGCCTAAAAACCTCAAAATGTTCGGACTTTTTTCAGTTTTTCGCTTAAAACTCGAAAATGGTCCATATTTTATGAATAACACTTCTTTAGTAAAAAAAGGAAACAAAACTCTACGTCGATCAAAGGATGAAGAAACAAAATCGGTTCAATAGAAAAATTTTTACAAGCGATCAAAGAAATCCCTTAAACTCCTCGTCAATTCCCGGAGATACACGGAAATCCCTGAAATCGGATAAAATTCCTTATAAAACCTCATAAAATCTTTTCGAAATCTGCTTAAATTCTTCCCCATACTTGCTTTTGACACTCCATCCCAATACTTTACTACCGCCGCTTTCATATAGAATCGTCACAACTTCTCACAGGTATTATCAAATAACAACAATATTTGCGATTGTTATATTTCAAATAGTGCGTGGCAATATTGAGTAAAACAATTAGAAGCAAAAGTTTATTTTTTAACGAGCCAAAGAAAGCTATTTCAGTGACAAAATTGGAAAAATCAAAAGGAAAGTCAGATTTTGGTTGTTTCCATGTGAGAATGAAAATTAATTTAGAACACAATCTCATGGGTTAAAAATTTGTAGTTCACATATCATATTTTATCAGGCACGACTTCATTCGGTACGGCAAAACAATTATTGAAAGGTAAAAGTGAACGCACGTGCAGATAAGCGCATCAGGTGATTAATCTCTACCTACTTACGTTACCGCCCCTCCATCAAAAATATAACTTTTGATCAAATAATTCGATCGTGTTAACGTGAAGTGCAGTGCATCTTGTGCGGAATGGTCTCCCAAAATTTCAAATGGTTCGAAGGAGAGTGCCTAGTATCGAAAGCAAGAAAGCTAAGGGTGAATTTTGACAAGCACAGATTAGGTACCGCGTAAAATGCAGTAAGTAATTTGGATTTTTACATTTAAACATTGGGCATAAAATGCAAAATGATTTTGGAGTTGGACAATAGGTGAAGTATAATGTCTAAATATTGTGTATGGAAATTTACCTCCACACATGTAACTGCCGTTAGTTTCAATCAAGCATTTTCCAAATCAAAAATTTATACACGACAATTACAATCATCTTATCTATCCAAGTCTAAAATTAGAAACACATGTGTAGTCCATTGCGTCGGCGGCGTCGGCATTTTAAACAGGGGTTTATAAGTCTGTTGATAATCTTATTCTTAACAAAAACCGCACTTGCCTTTTTATTAGTTTTAATAATAATTGTCGCAGAGTTTACTAATTTTGAATTTATTTTGATACGAGGGAACCAAATACCTCTCTCGCAAAATGAAAGGTCTTGAAATCGAGACATGCAACTCAAGATTATTGTGTCACCCCATGCCTAAAAACTGTACGAAAAGGGTAACTAGCAATTTCATTTTTTCTCTCTGTATTCATGTTAAATCCGGGTCCTGAGAGGCATTTAATTGGTTCAAAAATCCATTCACAAATTTCTTTAGAGTTGGAGAATCGAAAAGTGGATTTCCATTTTTCCATTATTACCTCTTGCATGAGTGTTTTAATGGTATTTGTCTCAGCAACCATCACAAATGGAACGATTGTACTTGAGGCTATACCCAGGTTTCGGGCATGCCTTTTTAATCTGTAAAATTGCTACCCCAAACGACGCCCCTAGGGATGTTGTAAAGCACATTAGAAATGCTGTAGAAAATTCAAATTCATTAGCCCATTGCGTAAAGACGTGGTTTGGGTAAGTGTAACATCTAAAACGACGGTTTTAGAGATGTTCTAAATTTCGGGTGCTCATTAAATTTGATATGAAAATTAACTAAAAATACTGTAGTTGAAGCGTGTTAGAATTTCGGAAATGAAATTATTATGGTGGTAACGCAACCACAAACGATGCCATTTGGGTGGTGTATTTTTTAACGACAAGTACCTTACAGTTTAGGAATAACTTGAAATAATGTAGAAAGTTCAAATTCATTAGTAACTTGACCAAAAGACGTAGTTTTGGCAAGCATTACATCCCAAAACAATGTTCTTAGGGACTTTACAAGTTTGGGGTTGCTGTTTTCATGACCCAGCACCTTGCAATTTATATAAAAATGAAATACACTTTCGCTTGCCAGTTATTAGATAAGGGATAAGGCGGACTGACCTTTTCGGCTTATACGTCACAAATGCCGCTGCTTACTGACATGAGGGCATCAGTTGCAGTGAAAGGGTGGTGTTGGTAGAGCATTCAAGCAATTTGGATGAGTCTTCTTCATTCCGGTCTTGTTCATTTCGTCTCATTCAATAATTTCCAACAAATTTCAAAAATGGTCTAATTTTAAATTTTTGGTACCTACTTTTTGAATTCGGATGTCGTACATTCTTTAAGAAGGGAGTAGTGGATTTTACCGTTCCTTTAGGAGCCACAACGCATAAAAAAAATATTAACTCAGTTTTTTAGAAAAGTTTGAATAAATGGGTGTTTATTGACGCAGAATTTTGGTTTTTTTTTACTAAAGAAGTGTAATTCCTAAAATATGGACCGTTTTCGAGTTTTAAGCGAAAAACTGAAAAAAGTCCAAACATTTTGAGGTTTTTTGGCTGCCAAAGTTGTGTCGGGAAAAAATTGGTGTGCACTCTTCAAATCCATGACTGTTATTTGGACCCAAATGGACCATTTAAAATAATAAAATCTTTTACACCCCCTTTTGCAGGTCAAAATTGTCTGCATACTGGACTAATTCACTTTCTTAACAATATAGAGCTGTTAATTTAGAATACTAGTAGTGAAAAAAATAGCATCTTTGTTATTATTATAGGTACTTACAGATTTGGTTAAATTGGAAAAGCTGTACAGTTTTTGATGCTAATGAATATTCCGATGCGAGATTTTGAAAGAAATAAATCGTTTCGCTTTCGTAGATAATTGAAAAAATGGGAAAAATCGCCATTTTTAAAAAAATTCAAATATTTTAGTAACAAAGAGAGCTATCGAAAAAAGTTTCAAATAAACGTTGCAAGATTTTATGGGCTTAATTCAATGGGCGTACAAACAAATTTTCAAAATGGCAGATTTCGAGATATTGACATCAACTTACTTATTTTAAATGGACGCCATATTTGATTTTTATGTCACTCGATAGAGAAAAAAATTACAAAACCAGTGATACTAAACACCTTGCCAGGCGACTATGTGAGACACTAAACGAACGAATTTGGTTTCAATCACAATCGGCCATGGAATTATTGCTATAAGAAATACATTGTAAACTTCGAGGCAAAAAAGCACCGTCAAAATTAAGTACCTATCCCTTAAAGTTAAGCATAATTTAAATACCATAGCAACGATTGTCTTAATAATCGTCGCTATAGATTTTAAGTTCGACTTAACTTTAAGCTTTAAGCAAGGCTTAATTCTGTTGGTGCAACTGGGGCTAAATGTTTAGTATGCAAGTTTATATTAATATCTCGAAAACCGCCATTTTGAAAAAAAAAATTCTTACGTCCATTGAATTTATCCGATAGAATCTTGCAACTTTTATTTGAAACTTTTTTCGTTAGGTAGCTCTCTTTATTACTAAAATATTTGAACTTCTTTAAAGTAGCAATTTCACGCTATTCCAATTATGAAACGATTTATTTTTTTCCAAATTATCACATCGGAATATCGATTAGCATTAGAAACTACACAACTTTGCCAATTAAACCGAATCTGTAAGTATAACAATAGCAAAGAGAGCCATGTTATCCTACTCAATTTAAGACACCCTGTATGATAAAATTTAGTCTTAAACAAAATTGATATAATAATAATAAAACTTTTTAATGCCGTTAGATTACAATGGGTAATATTGGCGCGTCAAAACATATAAAACAATTAATGTATATATACAGTGTAAGGAGTAAAACAACGTGGAGAATAAAATGGTTATGTGACATGTCTCGTATTTGGTTGCTTTTTATGTTTCAAACCGGCCCCAACGTTTTATGAAGAATAACTTTTTTGCGTAAAAAAAGTTTCCCATGGTCTGCGAACTTAATTGGCCACACTGTATAAATCAAATGAAGTGGAAACGGTGGTGAAAATTTGGCCATTTTGTCACATTTGAGCGTACAGATCGACAACGCCAGGTATCATTTCATAAGTATGACAGAATTCTCGTGACCCGGTCAAGTCATACTATAATTTGTTCCTCTGATTAAAGGGGCGATAAAGTTTCTAACAAAACAATTACAAAATAATATCGATTTAATGCGCTTAGTATTCAGCCTGAACAACAAAGAGTAGGTAACGTACAAATCATACATTTGATGAAACAAAACAATCACTCACATAATATCACAGAATACACAAATACTGAAAATTGTAATAAATTAAGACAGCGAAACAACTGAACGCAAGGCGTAGGCTATTCGTCAACCTTGCTGATGAACTATCGTCGTAGTTATCACAAAATCTACTTTGGTCGTAGATTGTTGACGTTTGGCATATCCCATTCGGTGCAATTTTTTGCACTGCTCCCAACGGCAAAATGCAGTCCGAATCAAATATGCACGTGTTATTGTTAGCTTTCTCCAAAATATGTTTATAGAAGTCGTTTATCGGTTCATATCCTACTCCAAAGCTAGTGTTACAACCGAGCCAAGATAGACCCTCACATGTACAGTAAAACGAGTTATTTGCGTAGGTAGTGTGCACGCGACTCCCATCTTGGGGATGCAAACCACCAACGTCGACGTACCTAACGTAATTCCCCAAGAAGTTGAACCTGAATATTCCTTGTCGAGGGCCTATCTTGTTAAACGCCCCCGATTGTAGGTATTGGAATTTATTTCTTAAAACGTCGACGCTTTCGGCACTAATGGCGAGTGCCCCGGACGAGGAGTTTCCAATGGAGTTGGAAGTAAACTCAAATGTTCGCACGCTTGCGCTTATTCCTGCAAAGGACAGGTCGTCGATGCTGGTATCGGCGATTACAAATTTGGACGCGTCCACCTGGACGCCGAGCGCCTCCACGTTGTCCATTGCACTGTTTAGAATGTAAACGCTCGCAAATTTTCTAGCGGAAATTCGGATGCCAGCCGCCTCGATCAAGTCGATCATCGTGTTGGTGATGCGAAAGAGCTGAACGCTGTCCGATAGTTCAATTGCATTCGTCTCGATCACGCCAATTTTGACATTTTCAAAAACCAGCTGCTTGAGTCCACAGTGCTGTTCGTGACAACGCGCTTGCGAAAAGGAACGCTTGGGTATGCTGCGTATGAAATCCACGTGTTCGAAAATAACCGCCGTAGGATTGCAACTGGTGTCATCTTCGAAGATTCTCAAGTTGACGACGTGGTGCACGTATAAAATGGTAATGTTTCGGTAGAGCTCAGTGCAACCGAATCTTAAACGTAAAGTGTGGCAATTCTTTATGGTGAGCTTGTCGATGTCGATATTGGGCGGCAAATCCCAAATCCAGAAATCGAGCGTTATATCCTGTGAAATCTCCAATTAGAGGATCTGTGTCGGGAAACGGTTTTACCTTTAAATCGTCACTGGGGCATTCATAGGTCACATCTTGTCTTCCCGAATGCGACACAGAATCGACACACTGAAAACCTTTCTCCTCGCAACTACGAAACTGCACTTTGAAAGATAAACAACTTTTAAGATACGAAATACACAACAACACGAGAACATCGACTTTCATGTTTATTTATTGCTCACTTCTAACACAAAACTTGTGTTGACATGCAGATTGATACGCTATCTACACGGATACGCGAATTCACTGCGTCATTTTGATATGAGCGCGTCGTCCGTGTGTTCAGGGAGATAAAGATGGTTTTTTTAGTTATTTATAACAATACAATTTATTGTGTCTATATGGATGTTGTAGCGTATTTGGAGCAGCTTCAAAACGAAAACCAATCGCTGACCGCCGACACCGCAATATTGTTTTTCACACAAATGGCATCATACCTACATATAATGTTCTTATCTCAAGATAATGGTTAGAAAATGCGTTACCAAAATGGGATACCGGAAGAATCTTGATGTGCCTAATTCCAAGATGAACCTTTAGGGAAACAGTCTGACCAGTATGTTTGCCCTCGGGCTCGGGACTGTCAAAAATAGGGGTAATCAAAATTATTTATGTGAAATAATTGTGACGAAAATAATGAGGTATTCATGGTTTTCAGAAGTTGAATGGCTTGCTCATGCTTCCCTATGGGTGTAATCTTCGTCTTAAGTTCCAATTTTTTTATCTATAGGTACCTAATCGTTACTTGACTGTAAAATGTCGTTTTTGCTCTGAACTTTTAGCCTTTAGGCTCTAGCGTGACTTTTTTGTAACGCTATATTCATCAAGAAATGATAATCGATCTTTATGAGAATGCTGCGAAATACTTTTCGTATAGAAGTGATCGAAAAGTTGTCGGATAATTCTTCCTTTTGTTTAGAACGATAAATTTGCTTCAAGATCTAAAATTAAAAGGGTATGGATGGTGGAAAAGTAATAGTGCGAGAAAGTCGTTTTGCCAGAGCTACCGTCGTCAGGATAAAAAAGGTTTTCCGAAAAAAACTAGATTCTATAAACAAGGATGATTGTGTGCGTGTGGTGACAATTTTGTTGTAAATACTGTTACTAGAGCAGGTAACCAATGTAAGAAAATGTTTTCAAAAAGAGAAAAACATTGTGGTAAAAAGACCTTCAGTAATTTATGAATACAATAAAAACATGGGTCTTGTGCACCGCAGTACAGAATTTAAAAGTGAATGCCGGACAGTACTCTACGATCGATATTTCAATCAACATAATGCCTGAGGTCTTTATCGTAAATCAAAGGTTTGATATCTTGGACCCTTTCCACAACCAGCAAATAGTTTTTATAATTTCATCGCTCTGCAACTGTTTTATTTTATTCGTATTTTATTATTACTTTCACCTAATTTTATTAGAGAGTGGATGAATAATATTTTGTTGTTAAAGCTGAAATGTTTTATAAATTTATCGTGTAAACGTTTCTAAGAGCAACACTAATAATCCTGCAAAATTTACAAGCATGAGATGAAAATACAGGAAGTAAAGGTGCTGCACAAGTTGTCGTATCCTGAGGCGAAAAAGAAGGTTGATTCCTTTGTTGTTCCGAGTGTACCTTTCGTGCAGGTAACCGCTACGCCACTTTCAAATCAGTCCACCGTACCTGAAATCAGGAAAATAATACAGGAAGAAATGCAAAGCTTTATGAAAGTACTTACCACGAAAATTGAACGTTCTCAAACCATATCTGGAACAACTCAACTGAAACCAGCCTCGCAACTAAGCGAGACAGTTGCACTGTTGTCAGAGCCGTCTGAAGTTGAGCCCATGGACGCGGAAACGCGTGGTTCAAAACGTAGGACGTCAGTAACCAGAACGAGGTCCTCCAGCATTACCTCCGTCGATTCGGAGACGGTGCAGGAGGCCAAGCATCAAAAGAAAAAGAAGGGTTGGCCGAAGGGCAAGCCCCGCATTCCTCGAAAAACGGCGGGAAACCCGCAAATTTTTAGTAATTAGTCTGTGATTACACCTGTGATATACATATATGTTTTGTTTGTCTATCATTTATTTATGTAAAAGTGTACATATATTTATTGTGAATGTCCTCATATACACCGTTATTTTATTGTTATTTATATTTATATGTTGCTTATTCAATTGTGATTGTCATTTAATGGATACAACAAAAATTGTCCAATGGAACTGTCGAGGACTCTCCAACAATTTAAATGAGCTGAAACTGCTAATTCAAAAGCATAATCCTTGGTGTATTGCTCTTCAAGAAACGCACCTGGTACCTAGAACAAAATACAGCATTAAAGGGTTTAATCTGATAAGAAAGGATTTTTACTCACCAGCAAGAGCCTGTGGAGGGGTGGCTTTCCTCATCCGACAAGGCATACCTTATAAACGGGTTAAACTAGATACGCCTTATCAAGCTGTAGCGGTACAACTTGAAATTAGCAGTTCTCTTACACTGTGTAATATTTACGTTCCCAATAATACTTATGATGTCCAAGAGATTGGTAAAATCGTAGATCAGCTTCAGGCACCTTTTATTCTAGTTGGGGATTTTAACTCTCACAGCACCGTTTGGGGCTCCCGCTCAGACGATGCTCGTGGCAGGGAGTTGTTGGATCTGATCGAGGATAAAAATTTAAGCTTGTTGAATGATGATTCAGCTACGTTCTTTAATGTGAGATCCGGTACTTTCGATTCCATCGATATATCGGTATGTTCACCGGCGATACATGCAAGCGTAAAATGGGAAGTGGAAAGTGATCTGCATCATAGCGACCATTTTCCCATAATTATTACCCTGCAAGGCAGGAACACTCCTGTGAGAACGATAGCCAAATTTAAAATGCAACAAGCAAATTGGGAACTTTTCACACGGCTGCTCGTCCCGCCAAGCCAAGTAAATCTCCAAACGCTAACCTCATCTATTTTAAATGCCGCCGAGGCCAGCATTCCAAGATCTAAACCTGGCAATATAAGGAAGATGGTTCCGTGGTGGTCACCCGAAATAAAAGAAAAAATTTTATTAAAGAAAAGAGCATTAAATAGGTTCCGTCGCCATCCTAAAATGGAGAATTTAATCGAATTTAAAAAACGAAGATCCGAGTGTCGCCGGCGGATATTAGAGGCACAAAGAAACTCATGGCAAAGATACGTTTCCACCATCACACCGGAGACAACCATTGGCGAAGTCTGGAAGAAGGTAGGAGCAATATCCGGTAAAATCGGCTGCGCTTATCCCAGATTTCTGCGTAACTCCGATGGGGTAGTTACCAACAACCTGCAGGAAATAAGTAACATTATTGCCGATCAATTCTATAAAGTTAGCAGTTCACTCAATTATCCTCGTACTTTTCTAGAGGCTAAAATCGAGAAAGAATTGACACCTATAAACTTTGATACCGATGAAACTCTAGATGATAACTTACCTTTTAACCTAGAAGAACTAGATGAAGCAATCCGTAACACCAAGTCATGTTCACCGGGAGGAGATGGTATCCATAACCAGATGCTTCGTCACTGTAGTGCGGAAATGAAAGAGATCATCTTAAAATTCTTTAATACCTGCTGGATCGAATCAACTTACCCTTCTGAATGGAAACAGGCAGTTGTAGTCCCTATACCGAAGCCGGGAAAAGACCCGCTGTTAGCACAACACTACCGTCCAATAAGTTTGACCTCTTGTCTAGGCAAACTGTTGGAAAAGATGGTAAACGGGAGGTTGCAAACGTTCCTCGAACGTAACAATATATACGTCCCATATCAAACCGGTTTTCGGAAGGGACGATCAACTATTGACCATCTGGTCAAGTTGAGCGATCGTATTCTGAATACGTTCGACAGTGGCGAGCACCTGGTTGGGGTCTTCTTTGACATCAAGGGTGCATACGACATGACTTGGAGGTATGGTATACTACAAAATATGTTCAAATATAATCTACGAGGGAATCTGCCAAAGTTTATACAATCTTTTGTGGAAAATAGGAAATTTGTCGTACGAGTTGGCGACGCTTATTCAAACGAGCACGTTTTAGAGAATGGGGTGCCGCAGGGCTCCACACTTAGCTGTTCCCTGTTTGGCATTGCCATCAACGAAATAGCTCGAGGTGTTGCTGACGAAATCGGAAAATGTTTATACGTCGACGACCTGACGATTTTTTGTGCAGATAAGACCGTCGGTATTATAACACGTAAATTACAAGTGGCGATAAATCAAATATGTAATAATGCCAACGTTGTTGGGTTTGTGTTATCAGAGGAGAAAACGAAGGTTGCACATTTTTGTCGACTTCGCAAACCCCATTATGACCCGGTTTTATTTATGAATGACCGCATAATAAGCGTGGTCCAAGAGGTCAAGTTCCTGGGTCTAACGTTCGATAGAGAGCTACGCTGGTCCGCGCATATACAGAACGTTGCTACTACATGTAGAAAGTCCCTGAATGTCATCCGAGTCTTAGCTCACCACAAGTGGGGAGCGCATCCCAAGACGCTGCTAGACCTATATAAAGGTCTCATACTATCAAGGATCGACTACGGATGTTCTGTGTATTCTACATGTAGTAGTAATACGTTGCTTGGCAAGCTGGACAGAATACAGAATCTTGCCATAAGATACTCCCTTGGAGCCTTTCCGACCAGTCCCGTCGAGTCACTATACGTTGAGGCAAACATTCTTCCTCTAGCTCTTCGAAGAAAGCAGATCGTGGTAAATTATTACCTCAAAGTGTCGATGGATGGTAATCATCCGAATTACCATCTGCTAAGAAACGTAACCACGCGCGCCCGTCTGTATAGATGTAGGTCCTTAGGAGAAAGAGCTAGAGAGGAGTTTGCATATCTACAACTGGAATATGCCGACATTGTAGACATGACTATAACAGCACGACGTGGGGTTGTGAAAGCGCGTGTGTATGAACGCTGGAATGGACAGTGGGCGGAGTCTGATGCCTTTCTGAAAAGGGTCAAAGCTGAAATAGGGCCTTTGTTTCCTTTAGGCATGGCTCGTCTGGCCTTAACGAGACTATTCAGACTTCGACTCGGTCACAGTGCTCTGACCCACGGATTTCTGTTGGCGGGTGATGATCGGCCACAATGTGACCACTGTGGAGTGGATTTATCTTTGGAACACATACTATGCGTTTGCCCGGAATATAGGAATGCGCGAGTTTTTAACAAAATAAGTGACACTTGGGCGGAAAATTTTAATACCAATGACAAATGCCTAAATACTCTACGTTTTATTAGTAGCATTGGTTTTAATGATAAACTGTAATATTTATATTATGTTGACGTTTTTGTTTTGT